ACTCAAAGGCAGTTGAGGATGAGGAGTTCCATCGTTTTTAGAGTCGAGTCAGCATTTTTGTTCTATCCAGCCCTTCAACTGATTAGATGAAGCCCACCCACAGTAGCTAAGCCCATCTGCTTTACTCAGGGGACTGTTTAAAACATTAATCTCATGGAAAGACACCCTGACAGGCACTCACAGAATAATGATTGAATAAATATGTGGGTATCTTCTAGCCGAGTCAAGTTGATATATAAAATTATCCATCACAGTATTTTTCAGAATTAATACAGAGTGAACGAATAAAAATTCGAGTACCACAATTTGCGAAGACTGTGTTTTGACTTTTGGTTCCCTTCGTCTTTTAAAAATGCTACAGAACTAATAGTTACACCACTGATATTAGACAATAAGTTCTGACTCAGTGTCAGTGATGAGCTTTCATTCATTCATTCAACATCTTTCTATTGAGTACATATTATATGCCAGGTATTTTTATAGGTCCTAATATAAAAACCTGTCCCACAAACTCCTCACATATGCATTTTTTGCAGTTAAGTGTTATTCAATGTTCTATATAATCTTTTCTTTAAAAATTCATATATGCAGTAAGCTTGATGATATATTTATAAGGAAGCAGATCATGAGTAGCAGCAGTTGGTGACTTACTCTCTGTGTGTTTGCATATGTATAAAACTCATTTAATAAAGCAGCAGTGAAAAATGATAGCAATCCAAAATCAGTATTATCAATCCTTAGTATCATCTGTCTCTGAGCTGTTGACACTCTACTACCTCATTGTTACGGATACTCTGTCCGTTAGCTTTTTGCCATCACCAGCCATATTTTACAGATCAAGACCTGTGAATTTGAGAGTCAGCAACATGCTCCAGCAAGCACACACCTTGTAATTAGCAGCCAGTGACACACTGATCTGGATTCCTCTCTGGGTAGTTTGGAAACTTCGGCTGCACCATGAGCTCCTTCATGAAAAAGGCTGTTTAACTGCTTTGATACTGAATTTCACATAGTAGGGGCTCAGGGACACTAGCTAAAATGTTTTTGTTTTGGTTTGTTTTTCTTTTTAAAAATATGTTTTATTGATTGTGTGCTATTACAGTTGTCCCATTCCCCCCTTATTCCACTTCACCCTCATTAAAAGCTTTATTTTATTATTTCTCATCATGTCTCATTATTTCTCCAAATTAAAACAAGAGAGTGGGAGTGGGTGTTGAATGTGTTTAACCTGGGTTTCCTTTAGAAGGAAAAAATCAAAGACACCCAAAGGTGACAAATTATTCTTATCATTTTACTTTAATATGCACAAACATAAAACTAGGTATAAAAATCTCTATGCTTAAAGGTATGCCTTTGTAGCTGTAAAACTAACAATTTACAAAGATATGCAAATAAAACTATAACATTAAAATTAAGGAGGTTCGGTTGCACTTCAGATTATGCTTTTCCTCTTAAACCTGTCAATCACTTCTGACTGACAACACATTTGCTGCCTCTTCTCTGTATGCTGAGATTCAAGTTCTCTGTCGAGTGCCATGCCTCCATTCCCTGATATGTGTGGACCATCTCAGGTCTGGACCACTCTTTTTTAGGAAAGACTTGGCACACTTTAGTTCTCTGGATGATTCATAAAGTACATTTCTTTTCAGGTAGTGGAAGGAATTATTTAAATATTGTCTGTCCTTTTTTATTAACTTGTGAAAAGGAACGTGATAGTTTATTCTGATGTAGTTATTCTGGTTTCATGAACCGCCATTAAAGGTCTCACTGACCTCAGTAACTGAAGGTGCTGAAGTTTCATTCTATTAAAATATTTTTCATTTCCCAGTCATCACTTTAAAAGGAAATTTTCGTTTTTGAAGCTGCTGACATCAGTCATTGTGACTATATGCATGGACATGGGACAATTGTCCTTTTTACACTTGGACAGACCAGTCAGCAGCAATCACACTCAGCATGATTCAAAACACGTGCAATTGTGCACACTGTATCTGTGTGGCTGTGGTGACCTATAGAGAGATCGAGAGAATCCTGGCAGTGCTTCCAATAATTTTTCTGTTTTCCTTCTTCAAACTTTATTTTTAGTGTTGACATTATCACAGATTTTCCTCTTCTTCCCCCCTTGGCCAATCTCCACGCAGCTCCCACCCCCTTCCCTATGGCCATCACCACACTGTTGTATTTCATTTAGATGTAAACTCAAGAAGAAATACAGATAAAGAACACAGAGTTAGAATGACACAACCATACCACATATCTAATCAGTACCTAACTAGCACCTAATGTAAGTCCAACTTTGTGCTGAGTGAGGGCAACTGGCTTTGACATTGATCTCCTGGACCCAAGAGTCTGTTTTAGTTCCCCGTTTTCACCAACATTACACACACACACATATACATATAACATAAAATTAGTTCCTGATGAGTTCATAATAAGAATGTGCTGTGATATGTATTTAATTTCAAATATTCACATGTATTCTGTAGAACACATGTGAATAATATTAAATATTTATTTAAATATTTAATTTAAATATTTATTTAAATATTTTACTTAAAAACTTTCCTTCTATTTACACAAATACAGAACGTGCTACAGAAGTGCTCATACCTTTCCCTTCATAACAATTATATTTGGGGAAAACATATTCGCTGCAATTTTGTATGTTAGCCTACGGATCCAGAACGTCTTGGTTGAAGGTGTAGATAACATTTTTTCACTAAAATCAAGTGTAAGTTTCTCCAAACAAGTCAGGCAAAAAGTATAATCCTTATAAAATTTTCTATGCCTCACAGTCATATTGACCTGGGAGTGTTCATAGAATAAGTTTTTAATGTAATCTTTTTTCTTCATGAGTTGACATAAGCAATTTTCTTTCATTTTTAATTTTTTAACTTTCCTTTCATGCCCTCAGTTGTTCATATGCTGATTTTCTCATTCATAAAAATATAACGACCTCAACAAGCCAATGTTAAAACTCAGTAAAAAACACCACTTACAAAAGGTTTTGTGTAGTGTTTTCTCTGTGCTAGTCACAAAATTACCTTCCTGCTGAGCATTTCTTTCTTCAGTTTTTGTTCATACTTGAAAAATAAACCATGTTCCTTTCATCTATTTCCTTGAAGACTTTTGTCATTTCCCCAAACAAACAAGCAAACAAAACCCCCTCAGTAGTTAAGGTCAGTTAAGCATATTTAGGGAATTTGAACTTCCTAGGAAATACCTGGTTATTTGCTAGTTTTCTGCCAAAATAATTTTAAACTTATTTTATTTCTATGTCAGTCAATGGATTGGGACATATCCTATAAGTAGAATATAAACATTTTGCTTTTGTTTATGTGGATGGAGTTCTCAAGTTCTGGTTCCTTGCCTCACAAACCACTCAAGAGGAAAGGCTCCTTAATCTGCCCAGTACTGTCACCTGTACTTTGGTAACGCTATCCCTCGAGTTTGAGCGGCCAGAAAACTGCTGATTTCTTCCAAACCTTTGGCAGTGATGCAAATTTATAGTGTGTGTGTGTGTGTGTGTGTGTGTGTATGCATGCCCCTACGCATGTGTATGTGTTTACACACACAACAACAACAACAAGAGGGATTTAGTGGAAAGAGAAAACCAGCATTCCTCTAAGGACTTGAATCAAACCAGTTATGGAGTAATTGGTGGAGTTGGTGAGACCAAAGGCAGCCCACTTGAGGGAAGAGGCTTTTGAGTGCCTCTCCCTCATCCAGTGTCCGACAGAACAGCCCCATCCCCCTCCAAGGTTCAGGGAGTACCACCTCACACATTACAGCATCCAGGTATACCCCTCCCCCCATCCAGGATCCAGGGAATACCTCTTCCCTCCATTTTGGGCAAGGGAACACCCCAGCCTCCACCTGTGGTCCACGCAATATGCCACCCACAATTCTGGGTCCCACAGAATGCTCCTCCCCCCATTTAAGCCCAGGGAATACTCTCTCTCTCTCCATCCAGGGTCCAGGGAGTACCTCCTCGCTCCATCTAGAGCACAGGTGGCAAACACAGGGCCTGTGGGCTGAATCTGGCCCTCCACCTTGTTTTATCCAGCCAGGCATCTTATTTCTACCCAGCAGCTGCGCTGAGTCACGGCTTAACGTCAAGGAGTAGTTACATTTATACAGTCCTAAACTTACCTGTGGCCCTTTGAAGACAACCACGAGGCTGATGTGGCCGCTACTGAAAATGAGTTTGATACCCCCGATCTCAGGTCACACAGAATATCCCCTCCCTCCATGGTCCCAAGGTGTACTCACACTCCCTCCATCCAGGGTCCTGGAAATACCTCTTCCCTCCACTAAGAGTCGCAAGGTTATCTATCCCATCCTTCAATCCAGGGTCCAGGGCATACCCCCTAAGGCCATACAGAGTGCAGGGTATACCTCCTCCCTCCACTGAGGGTCCCACAAAAACCTCTATTCTCCATCCAGAGCCCCAGGGAATACCTTCTCCCTCCATCCAGAGTCCCAGGGAATAACTTCTCCTTCCATCCATCCAGAGTCCTAGGGAATGCCCCCTCCCTCCATCCACAGTCCAGGAATTACCTACTCCCCCCATCCAGGATAGCAAGGAATACCCCACCACTCCACTCAGGGTCCCAGGGAATAAGTCCACCCTTCATTCAGGGCCCAGAGAACACCTCCACCCTCCATCCAGGATTCATGGAAAACCTCCTTCCATCCAGGCTCCCACGAGATATCTTCTCCCCCCACCCAAGGAGATCACAAACTGCAACTGCACATGATGGGCCACGTGTGAGAGAGAGAGACTCCTACACACTTATTTTAAAACAAAACGTGACAGTTTGTGCACACGAACCAATGAAACGCCTTTAATTATTTAGCAACCAATAACTTTAGGAAGTAATTATAACACTCAAACATAAAAATTTAACTGAACGTTTGTAGGGCAATATGGCGATAGGTATGCTCCGCACCGCGACCAGGGGAAGTCACCCAGCGGCTATCAGTAAGGCAGTCTCGGCTCAGTTCTTGCTGCTGCCCAGGGTGAAGTTGTCAAAGACGGACTCTGGCAGGTTACCTTCCGGGGCCCCCAGCTTGCGCAGGTTGGTGATATGGTCCCCCAACTCTTGGATGAACATCTCATGTTCACGCAGGTAGTCACACTGCAGGAAGTGGAAGATCTTGCCATGCTTCTCAGTGATCACCTGGTGCAGATTCAGCATGCTCTGGTGCACTCTCTTCGCCAGGTGCAAAGCGCACTCCATGACCCTCAGGCCACTCTCCCACTTCTCCTCCTCAGGCTCAGGGTTGTTGCACAGGCTGGCGTCTTCTGCACGCCGGTTCTGCAGCCCCAACAGATAATGCGCGTGCCCCACCTCCTTCTTTGACTGCTGAAGGAAGAACAGGCTGAAGTGCTTCAAGGCCGGGTCTCCACCGTCGAAGTAGCAGGACATGGACTTGTACACGTAGGAGGCGTGCATCTCCAATTTGACCTGGTTGTCGATGGCGGCCTCACACTCAGGGTGGTAGTTCTGACACACAGGCCAGGGTGGCAATGCGGTCGCCATGTCTGGTAGCACAGGTGCGGGGTGGGGGCACCACAGCGAGGAAGTCCTGGAAGCGGGAGCTGGAGTTGCGGGGTAGCCTCCGAGAGTCTCCTGGGTGAGTCAGCGCGGAGCGGCAGTGCTCAGGTGTCTGCACCAGGTGCCTGGTGGTTGGCTCTGAGATGGAACCGGAAAGGGAAGGTGAAATGTGAAGTGACCTTCCCTTAGATAAAGTGACCAATTCTCGCGAGTGTTCAGAACACAGCAAAAGGAGGATCCCAGGGGCAGGTGGGAGTGGCAAAGAAGGGTGCTGGGCAGTGGGGGGCGGGTCTAAGTGGGCAGGGTACCAGCAGCATGTTCCAGGTTCCGTTACAGCGTAGGTGAGGCGGGGAGAAGCTGTTCTGACCTCTTGACATTTAATGTTTTCAATTTCGCAAGAATATGTCTATCTTGCGAAGACTTTGTCCTCTAATAACTACTATAGGAGGCCTTATTGTTGTATAAGTTCATTTTGTCCTCTTAAAGTTCTGAGAACATGAATTTGAATGTTTGATAAAATTCTCTTCTGTTTCCTGTGTTATATCTGGGTTCCCCCTGCCCAGAAATAGTTTCGTGAATTCCCTGTCCTTTTTTCTTTTATCTTCCTCATACATTTGGCAACCCTGTGTTCCTGTACAGTTAGGCATAAAGGACTTACGGGGTCAAACCAGATAATAAGCACAGGCCTGATCTGGAGTTGTGATGTGCACTTCAATACAGGGCTTCTGCTGTAAGGGAAGGCTGGAGTGTGCTGAGTTACTCAGTGGGTTTTCCTTTGAGGATACATGGCATGGCTTATAGGTAGGAAAGGGGCACTCCCTGGGGACAAAACAAATACTATATTTCTGACAGGGGGAGAGTAATACATTTTTCTTCTAGGTAGATGTGTCCTATTGTTTCCCTTCTGTGTAGATCTGCAATTTTCTTAAGCTCATTCACAGTCTTTCCAGTGTAGTTTGGGGTGAGGAAAGCTGCCAGATACCACAGTTGTATAAAATTCTCTTGTGTAGACATCCTGTCCAGGGCTTTTGTTTATTGGGTGTTTTTTTTTTTTTAAATTTAGTGACATCTTTGATTTCCTTAGTTGTAAGTCATCTGCTAAAATTTCCAGTTTCTTCCTCATTCAGCTTCGGAACATTGTATGTTTCTCAAAATTCATTTATTTCTTTCAGGTTGTCTAATCTTTTGGCAGATACTCGTTCATGATAGTTTCTTTTGCTGTTTGCAAACCTGAAACACAGATATAATTGTATCAGCCTCATCCCACTAGTGGGTAGGTGATCAGTGCCCACTGTGGGTAAATAACACCTACTGTGCATGAATGAGTCCACACAGGAGGGCAGGCACCGCTGTCTTCAGAAAGAGCTCTGGGAGAGGTTGGGCCTTGGGCCTGCTATCTGGGATCTTCGATTTCAGGAGTGTTCGAACCTCTCCTAATTGATAAGAGTGTCATTGTGCCCAGAGTGGGTAAACAAAAGAATTTACACTGAACACAAGTTTTGTTTCTGTGTGTATGAATTCCTGGTACTTGCTAAGCCAAGGGTGCCTACACACCCTGCTCTCGATACAAACTAGAGCCCTGGGTCTATAATGGCCTCACAGTTATCTACATGGTGGTTCCATTGGAGGTCCGTGGGCATCTCCGGTTTTACATAATATGGCAGTCCCACCACTGGACGAACATCCTCAAATTAATAAACAGTGCTACCATCCCGCAGGTATTCAATTCTAATCACCAGAACCTAGAGTATTTTCCTCATCTCTCACTCTTCACCTCTGGTCCATAAGCAGAGCTCATTGGCTCATTCAATCCATGTGCATTTTGCCCACATCTCTTCCTTTTCTCAGTCACCACTGTAGTTCAACCCCCATCGCCTTTCACCTGGACCAGCCGCAACATCTCCCAACTGGCCTCCCAGCTTCAGCTCTCCCCCCTCCCTCTACATTCTTGAAAGCACTGAGTCACTGATAACATGCAGGGAAATTTTTGCTACTTCATATTCCCTACCAGGAAGTTGACTTTCAGCCTTGTCTTTGTGCTTTTCAGTCCTATGGACCTATTTCATGTTTGAGGGACCATGTTGTGCTAAGGGAAGAAAGAGGACAACTGAAGCAAAAAACTGTATTAGCATGTTTTGAAAGGGTAATATGCATGACCAGCATGGGACCTTGGGAAGACACTCCCGTGTGTCTGGAACAGCCAGCCTAAGGCTCAGCTATCATTGCAGTTGCTCAGTGAGAGCTTGAGGAAGTGGTACTCTATAGGGAACCGTTCTGTTTGGTGCTAGGAATGTAGCCCAGCCGCTGACTCAGAAACTCCAATGGGGAGCGGGTCGACACACAGGATCCTGGTCCCCTGATAGGCTCTCCGGTGGGGAATCAGGCCCGCATTGTACCCAGGCTGCTATGAGGCTTGATTTTCCTAAAACCCCCTCACCCTGAATTGAGGCGGAAATGTTTACTGCGTATCTTTAAAGTGACTTCCAAATATCTCTGGTAAACTTCCCAAGGATGGAGTGTAACTGGTCCAGCCACTTTTCCCCTTGATCTGCCACATCCTTCTCTTTGAAGGAGGTAGCAATATTCTTTCCTTTGTTATTTGTAAAAGGCAATCACCTACAGGGAACCTGTACATAGTAAAGGAGGACCTTCCTGAATGTAATGTACCCAGAAAAGAAATAAAAGCCTGTCTAGGCAGGGGTCAGGGCCCTCTCTGTCACTTAGAGAGTGGCTCTGCTGTCCCTTTTTCTCCACTGGACTTCTGTAGTCTGTGTGAATTTGTTCCTTGCAGGCACTACACAGGGACCCCGTGGGCTGGGGTCCCCATTAGTACTCTACCAAGATGGCTGCTCGGGTCTTCATCTCGCTACACGGGTATTGTTAAGAAACATAAACATTACATATGATGCTAAACTAAAAACCTTCAGGTAAAATGTAAGAACCCTCTACCACTTGCCCAATGTCACTGTCTTTAGAGTTTCTCCAGTGGCAAGCACAGCAATAATTTGAAGGCCAGGCTTTGTATTTTCAGCATAGACATGCATCTGTTTTCACCAGGGCCCCAGACCATTTATCTGACTGCACCCTGCCATATAGCACAGGCTTCCTAAGGACAAGATGAATTCTGCATTTTTCCAGGGGCCCAAGGAGAACCCTCTCACTCCATCCAGAGTCCAGAGCATACCTGGTCAGTCCATTCAGGGTCCAGGGAATACATACTCCCTCCACTCAGGACCAGAAAATATCCCTGCCTCCATGTAGTGCCCAGACATTACCTCTGTCTTCCATCCCGATACCAGAGAATATAAGCCCTCTGTGCATTAGGGCCCAGGAAATACAACATCCCTCCATCCAGCTTCCATGTCATATGCCCTCCTTCCATTCAGGGTCCCACAAAATAACCCCACACTCCTCTAGGTCTCAGTGAACACCCAGGGCCTCCCCCCATCTAGTGTCCAAGCAATACCCCCCCCTCCATTCAGGACCCAGGTAAAACACCCTCCATCCATCTGGGATCCAGGGAATATCCCTTCCCTCCAACCTGTGTTCAACAGAACACCCCTGCTTCCATCCAGGACCCAGGGACTATCCTCTACCCCCAACCTATGTCCCAGGAGATGTCCCACACCCCTTCAGGGTTCAGGGAATATACCCTCCCTCCATTTACAGTCCAGAGAATTTCCTTTCTGCCATAAAGATTTTAGGGACTGACCCCACCCTGAATTGAGAGTCCAGAGAGTACTTCTTCCTCCTTCCAGGGTTTGAGGGATACACCTTCCTCCATCTAGTGCCCCACAAAATAGCCCCACCCTCCTACAGTGTCAAGGGTGTATGCCCTCCTTCCATCCAGGTTCCAGGGAATGCCCTCTCCCGCCCACCATTTTCCCTGGGCTCTCTCCCAGAGCCTAGGGAATAACCCCTCCTTCACTCCAGAGTGCAGGGAATTACCCTTCCCTTCATGCAAGGTCCGTGGAATGCAAGCTCCCTGAATCCATAGTCAAGAGTATCCATGGATTTCCCACCCCCCTCGAAGTTTCAGGAAATATCCCTTCCTCCATCCAGGACAAGGGAAAACCTCCTCCCTCCATCCAGGGTCTAGATAACACCTCCTGCCTCCATCGGGATGCCCAGAGAACCCCCTCGCTCCATCCAGGGTCACACAGAATGCCCCCTCTTGCACAGGGTTTATTCCTACCTTCCATTAAGGCCCAGGGTACAGCCCCTCTCTCCATTCTGTTTCTCAGGAAATACCCCTCTCCATCCATGGTCCTGGAAATACATTTTCCTTCCACTCACAGCCTAGGGAATATGACCTTCCTCCCCCCAGGGTCCAGGTAATATTCCCTCACTCCATCCTGGGACCCACAGAATGCCCTTCCATCATCCAGTATCCCACAGGATAGCCCCAACCTCCCCCAAGGTTCAGGAATTACCCATTCCTTCCATCCAGGTTCCTGGGGATAATTCTGCTCTCCATCCATCATCCTAGGGATGACCCCTTCCTTCATCCCGCCTTCCTTAAACTGCTTGTTCCCTCCAACCAGGGTCTCAGAGAATACTTGCTCCCTCTATCCATGGTCCCAGGAAATATGCCCTCCCATCCACAGGGATCCTAAAGTGCGAGTGATGGGGCATGTTTGGAAAGAGAGAATCCTACATACCTGTTGTATTACTTAGAAGGTTTGGGTTTAACACACGTGAACCAAAGAAACAACTTTATTTATTTAGGAACCGATAACTTTATTGGAAGAAACGGTAAAACTGCAACATAAAACCTTAAACCAAAGTGTTGAAAGGCAATATGGCAATAGGCATGCTCAGCTCAGTGACCAGGGGAGGTCACCCCATGGCTGCCTGCCATCGGGAAGGCAACCCAGGGACAGTTCTTCTTGCTGTCACCCAGGGTGAGCATGTCAAAGAGGTTCTCTGCCAGGGCGGATTCCGGAGCTCCCACCTTGCACGGCTTGATGACAGGGTCCCCCAAC